ACTCTTAGAATTATCAATTAGTTCAATCTTTTTGGAGAAACAATTTAGAATTATATGAATTACATGTTTTCCAATACACAAATCCTACTATTGGGCCTATAACCAAAGAAAACTATTGATAGGAAAAATGCTTACATGTACAACATATTTCTAGTGATACTATTTTTAATGAAAAATTCTAGAACTAAAGTAAATGCCCAGTGATTGGGGAAGAGTTGAATAAATTATGGCATATCAATTATTCTATAATCTGTCAGAATTCATTTGGGAGGGATTGTGGGGAACTAGATGGGGATGGCGAAGAAATAATCAAGTTCTCCTGTCTACATTTAGCACCAAATGTTCCTTAGATGGTTTTGCAGTAACCCAGTGACCACACCTGAGAAATGATAGCTCGTGAACAAAACATGTGCATCAAAATGAGATTTACTGAAGAACTGGGGGCTTTTTTATTTTTAATAAGGATCTATGGGCTGCAATTACAGGATACCAAAAGAAGTTCTGAAAAGTGTTCATTACACTTTGTCATCTAACAAAGGTCAGTTTACAAGAGGCAGCAAGCAGGTCAAAAGTAGCTTCCAATCTTGCTCTCTATATATCAGAAAGGAGCTGCTCCATCAGCCATGTTTCATCCATTTTTCCTCAATTTCCAAGTGTTCCAGTGCAATGCTTACTGGGAAGGAAAAGTATTATATTTTGCTTCCACTCCCAAATCTATGTTTTAGGATCTCTGAGTGTTGTAACTGGTTGAGAGGAGAAAGAAGGGGAAAAAAAGAAAGTGTGGAATCTAACCCATCCCATGGCTGATTTTGAAAATTACAATTAACTGCAAAGATAGGGGCCCGATTTCATGGCTTTAATATTGTATTTTTATTTCTAACAGCTTTTACCTCTTCCAAATCAGTTTCTTGACTCTATGGCATGCCATCTATACAAGTACATTAAACCAGTTAACATTCACTGAGGGCTTTTGTTTCGTGTTTCATATATTTGTAGTGTCTTGCTTTTATGAAATGGATCAGCAGATAGGTACTAGGGGTTAGAATAAGCCACTAAAATACTCTCCATTCAATATTTCTTGAATACATAGATCTTACACTTAAGGTACCAACAGCCAAATTGTTTACACTCAGTGTAAAAACCATGTAGCATCCTCTGCCCCTGCAGAAGCAGGAAAGATTGCACAAGCCTTAGAGACAATTTTGTTTCATTGCCATACCCAAAAAAACTTAATGGAGATAAGCCTCTCTGTACTTCGGCAGGCTGTTACTCAGAAGACAGTGGATAGGACTAAATTCAAAACCTTTCCAGAACAGCAGAAACTGCCAGAGCTTACTGTCTCCGCTGGACTGGCCTTTGATAAATGTCACCTCCATGACACAATGAGCTATCAGATTAGGACTTTGGAGTTTTCCATTAGTAAGTATATCAACACATTTAATGAACCCTGCATAGAATTTATGGGAGGAAAAAGAAAAAAGTAGCAGAGATGGCCTAGTTAAGTCATGCTCTACATCACTGGAGCGAGTTCCCACATCAATGAGACAAGATGTATTAATGTATAGGAATGTAATGTAGTGAATGCTATCATACTGTAAGGAAAAACAAAGTATACTGTGAACTCAAAGCCTGACAAGGATCTGTGACTAGGCAGAGATAACTTCCCCTATGGGATTCTAAATGACAGGCCTTTTCCAGTGTGCTGGAAGGGTAGCCTGTATAGGATGATGAATAAACGCTATTAGCTTATAGAAATTTTAAATTATTTGAAAACATGCTGAGTTCAAAACTTATGTCAATCACTAGCTGTGTAACCCTGAGCAAATTACATAACCCATGTTATGTTTCCTCCCATGTAAAATGGTGATGATAATAGCACCTACCTCACAGGGCCATTTTAAGGCTCAAATAAGATAATATATGTAAAGCATCTTGCAAATTCTAAAGAGTTATATAAATGTTAGCTGTTATCATTACTGATTAAATCCTTAAACGCTATTATTATGAGGCAGCTAGGTGATGCAGTTGATAGAATGCTAGGCCAGGAAGAATTGAGCTCAAATCTGACCTCAGACACTCATTGGCTGTGTGACCCTGGGCAAGTCACTTAATCTCCGTTTATCCCAGTTTTCTCAATTGTAAAATGGAGATATAATAACAGCATCCACCTCACAATGTTGTTTTGAGGACCAAATGAAATATTTGTAAAGCACTTAGCACAGTAACGAGCATTACAATAACTTTGTGGATTCATCATATACCATAAACTGGCAAAGGTGGGAACAGTGAATGTTGGAAAGGTAGTGGGAAAACAAGGACACAAATACATTGCTGGTGGTAATATGAATTGGTCCAACCATTGTGGATATTGATTTGAATTATGCAAAAGTAAATAAGCTATAACTTCATCCTTACCCACTGACCTAGCAATTCCATTATTGAGTATATATCCCAAGTATGTAAAAGACAGAAACAAAGGTCCAATACATACCAAAATATTCATAACAGCATTCTTTGTAGTAGTAAAGAATTAGAAACAGAGAGTACCCTATCAATTGAGAAGTGACTGAAAAAACTTGTGGTGTATATTCATGTATCATATGCTCTATTACTGTGCAATAAAAATGACAAACGTGAGAAATCCTGAGAAACTCAAGATGATTTGCAGGAATGCTTAGAGTGAAGAAACAAAAGAACATATATTCAAAGACTACAATAACATAAATGAAAATATCACTAAAAGGACTTTCAGCTGAGTTAACTGAAAAAACCAATGATGGTTAAGAAAATAGATAATGAAATGTCATTCCTTCTGAATGACAAAAACAAGAGGCCAAATATGAACACTGTAATGGATGTCACTGCTCAATTACTTTTTTTTTTTAAGAAAGAAAGGTTCAATATGGGAAGGGGAGATCACCATAAATAAGTAATGTAAAGATGAAAGACATCAACAAAAGCATATTTAAATTAATTAATAACACAATCTGAGTTTCCACCTCGGCATCATCAAACTGGAAAAGATGAACAGGGTAAAATTCAGTGCTAGCAATGTATGCTGCATGTGCTATTGAGCTACTACTAGAGTTATGAAAAAGATCTAACATTTTTGGAAAGCAATAAGGAATTATCTCATAAGGTAGAAGAATATGCACACCCTTTCTTTATCTACCAGGTGATTACTGATGGTGGAAAAAGACCTATTGTACAAAAATATCTTCTAGCAACACTATCTGTTACAGCAAAAAACTAGGTGTCTATCAAATGGGAAATGGCTAATTAAATGCTAGTTTACAAATATAAGAAAATATTACATCCTCAAAATGATGAATATGAAGAATTCAAAGGATAGGAAGACATACGAAGTGATGGAACGGAAGCAAAACTAATGTATGTATATATATGTGTGTATATATATGTATATATATATTTTTGTGTGTGGTACGTGTGTATATATATACATACACACACACACACACACACACACATATATATGACACAACTATGTAGTTGAAACCAACAGTTAAAGCAACAAATTCATATGACAAAGAAAAGGTAAGATTAGGAAAACAAGGACAATGTGGACACTACTACATTAAGAGTCAATATATACATCTTTTGGGGTTGAGTTTACAAACAGTAAATAACAAATTATAGACATATAACCACTTACAATCTTTTGTTTGTTGGTTTCTCCTTACATGATCACTTTTCTTTTATTTTCTTGTTCATATATTTGAATTCCTGTGTTTTTCAATGAAAATTTTAAAAATTCATATATTTAAAATTTTTTTAAAGACCTAATGAATTACATACATAGAAGTGCAAATAAAATGCTAAGTGAGACCAGAATGGAAAAAGGTCCAGAAGGATCAAGGAAGGCTTCCCAAAGATACTCTTTCATTTGGGCTTTAAATAATGAGTAAAAATTTAACAGTAGGAGAGGGGAATATGGGCATTCCAGGTATGGGAAACAATGTGAACAAAGGCAGAGATGGGAGTTTGAGGAATGCTCCAGGCAAGTAGCCAGTGGTATTGCATGGCATAGTTGGTGAGAAAGCTGGCTTTGAGGACAGGAAAACCCATGTACAAGTCCTGACTGACACATACTATCTATATGATATTTCATTTAACCTCTCAGGTAACTCTTAAGACTATAAATTGTATAGAAGGTGCTGACAAGCATGGGTTGAGGGAGTTTCCTCCCATGGATATTAATAATACTAATGAAATCAAAGGTCTAGTTCATACACCTATAGCATAAGGTACAGCTAAAAAGATTGTAGAAGGTCTTGAAAGCCAAAAGAACTTTATTTGGTAGGCAATAGGGAGCCAATGAAGATTTCTGAACACTGACATGAACTGTTTTACGAACAAAATATCCTGACATCTATACAAAAGTTGGTTTGGAGGACTGAGCAGCAATAGAAGACCTATTAAGAGGTGGGTTGTAATAAGGGCCTCTACTAGAACAGTGGCAATGGGAATGGGACAGGGGGTCAAATGGGGAGATAACATATTATTAGAGTCATCAAGACTTGGTTTCTGGATAAGAAAGGTGAAGAAAGGTCAAAGAAACACAAGGTTTGAAACAAGGTATTACTAATGATGGAAAATATCAATCAGGCAAAGATTCAGATGGTAAGAAACTTTTTCAGATATCGTCAATTTGTAGTGCTGATAGTCCACATTTCTAGGTAGCAAAGTCCTATAGGTCAAAAGAGGTTATAGAACTCTAGAGATTAAGATTTGTTGCTTACAGATCAGAATACTTGATAATAACTTTAACTTATTTATGAATTCCTTCAAAGTTTACAAAACAAAGCTAAATTCTAGGAGGTACAGAGATACAAACACTATATTAAAAAGTCTAAAACTAGATAAACCAAAATCAGTCTGGAGACAGGAGACTAGCTAATACCACCTCAACCTTTCAAATCTCATCCTCCTCCGAGCTGTTCACCGTTTCCCTTTGTACACAGACAATAGACAGGAAGAAATTCCAGTTGCATTTTTTATTTAAATAAAATCCTATCAGTCTGCCCCTCCATTCTCACACACACTCCCCATTTTCCTTCCACCTCCACCCAATAGTCACCTCAAACACAATGGTTTTCATTGTGACCATTTTGCCCTGTCCTGGGGGAATGACACACAGGACAGGAATTTAAAATGTAAACCTTCATTCTCCCAAAAAACACATACACAGAGAGCTTATTAGGGAAGGACAGGGGTAGAACAGTACCTATGAAAGATAGATGAGGTGAAACAAAGCAAGATGAGGGCAGAGGCAAATGGATTCCTCTATGCCCACTGTCAAAAGGAACAACTTTCCATTCTATTAGATAGTAGGAAGAGGGAAATAACCTCCCCTCCAACACACACCCTGTGGATGTGTGAGGATCATTGTGTACTATAGGTGTGACCTACCTCCCCAGTGTCTGATTTCCATGGAGATACAGGGCTTTCATTGCCACAACTTATTCTCCATCTTCAACTGATGGGACATGGGGGTGTTGGGGTGGGGTGGGGAGTAGGGGGGAGATAGTGGGAGAAGGAAGGGAGTAGTATAGCAGCCAAATCAAGAAACTCCTAGAGGGATATATAGAAACTTATATAGGAGGAGGGCTAGGGAGAAAGGATTTGGGTCCAACCCTAACAGTACCCAAGTTTTCCTACCCACGATGTCAGAGAGATGGTAAAATGAGGAACAGTAGTTCATAATTCTATCCTTGACTATGCTGAGCATCTGGGGAAGAGGACCAATCATTTACACTTGACAGGTAAAACATGGTGAACACGGTAAAACATTGCTCCAGCAAGAGCATGGAGGAAAGTCATCTATCTTGAAGTCTGGACAACTCACTTCAGGCCCTCTCAAACTGATCTATCAAATTACAGACTCCACAGGACCTTCTCATCTTAAAAAAATCAGCAGTCAGCTGGGGAAACACCAAAGGTTATTTATGGTAACAGGAGGATTCTTTATATGGACCACTCACTAGAAACCTAGTGTCACTGCTAACATGGGTCAGGGGAGACAGGATAAGGGTTAGAAATCTTCAGATTTCTCCCCCATTATCCTATAAGACTTGACTTTTTTTGAGTTATGTAATAGTCACTAAAAACTGGGGAAAGGCATCTTGAGTAAATGAACTTATTATATGCAGGGTTGCAAGTCTGGGATAGGACAAAAAACATAAGAATCTCTAGTAGGGTCCAGCAGTATTGGGGGTCTTATTAAGAGAATCTCAACATGGGGAAGGATGACTGTGGAGGATGGGTCTATAGGTCTGGACTAGGGGAGTAAAAAAAATGAGAAGAGCAACTTGGAGCCTCTATGGACAGCACTCCTCCCTTGGTCAACTTCCTGTTCCTTCTGGACTGAATTCCCTGAGGGGAAGGAGAAAGGGAGTGAGAGACAGACAAAAATGGTGAAAAATGAACAGAAATTCAGGTAGAAAGAAAAATATGAAGAGGGAAGGAGACAGAGAATGACAGAGCGATCTAGGCTAAGAAAGAGGGCATTTAATAATAAGAATAAGGCAGAAGTGAAACTTGTAACAGTGAAAGAAGAGACAGGAGCGTGACACAGTGATGAAAAAAAAAGAGATCATCACAGAGGCAGAGGAGATAGAAGTAAGGGGCTTTTCAAAATAGAGCAGAACTCAAAGGGCTAAGGGAGACCAACAGAGTCTGTAAGAACCCCAAGTGAGAAGAGGAATAGGGACAAAAAGAGGAGACACAGCTCTTTGGGAAAGTGAGGGCTATAAGCTGACGCTTCGTTGGTGACGACCTCGACTCCCACTCCCATGATCTCCCCCACCCTCAGGGCTTAGCTCTTGGCCATCTAAGCTGGCATGGTCTGAGAGGCCCCTCAAGTGCTCCACTGAATCACACTTCTGTAGGTCTGAGGCAACAGTGCGAAGGCTCAGGAGACTCAAGGTATCAGGGGCAGGGCTAGGTTCAAGGGACCCACTCTCCTCCAGATACCCACCCTCTGCCCCCTCAACCCTGATGTCTCCACTATCCCCACTCTCAGGTCCAGCCTCAGCCCCTACTGGGGAGGAGCGCCTGTGAACTGAGGCTTGGGGCAAACCCCTGCGGCGGGCATGGATCTGCTCGCTGATCTGCTCCAGATTTCTCAGGGCAACTGAGTAGCGGGTCTTTGCCTGAGACACTTGTTGTTCTAGGCCAGTCACCTTGGCCTTGTGTTCCTGAGGGAGGCAAGAACAAAAATATGAGATGCTCCACCAACCCAAATCTTTTAAGGGTCTTCCTAATTCCCTTCCAGCCTCAACTTACTCCATCATCTTCCCTGTTATTTTGCTTTCTGCCTCAACTGGGTTCCCTCTCAACTTTACCTTTTCTTATTCCCTCTCTCCTCTACTAGTTTCTAACTCTGACACTTTTCCTTCCCCTCATATTAGTATTTTCTTCCTCTACCAACTTCAAAGAATTCTTCCACTTTTAAGTATCTGGGTCACTATCCCATTATCTGCCTCAAACATCCTCCTCTTTCAACAATTATTCTGCATTCTTCCCCTTTTATATTCATTCCTTTATTCTCTTCACATAATTCTCTGCTCATTAATTTTACCTTTAATCCCACAATTCTTCTTCTTTGCCTTCTTTACTCCATTTGCTCTTCCCCCTCTTTTTTGTCCTCCTCTCTCCCCATTCTCCTGTGTTATCTCCTTCCTAATGTTTTTCTATGTTCTTCCTTTATGTTCCTTAAGGTCCCTTTCACCTCCTCTACTCTGTACCTACACTTTGCCCAGTCTTTTCCTCCTGAGTCTCTATCTCTTCACATTTCCTCTACTTTCTCTTTTGCCTACCCTGAATTCCTTTTTCCCTTCCTCTCACTTCTCAACCTGTTCTGAAGTCTCTTCATAGACCTTCTTTGGCACAATACAGGGTAGATGTCCACTAAATTGAAGTCTACCATTTGTATGATCATCTAGGATCAAACATCCAAATCCCTACTGTATTTGGGGTTATCTTGAATAGCAAAATATCTGCTGCTCACAACACAAACTCACCCTTCACCCTTTTCTTCTCCTTTCCCTTCATCCCCATATACTATCTTCTCTTCAGGTCTGTCCCGGGTTCCCCTTGTTCAGTTGCCTCCCAGTCTCCCCCATGCCAGTATGTCAAAGCAACTCACCTCTAATATCTGGTTGAACTGGGCCTTAAGCTCAAAGTATGGACGACTCTTGCCAATGACCCGCCTAAGAGTCTTTTGCAAGGCCTGTACCCGAGCCTCTGCCTGTTGGCACAGCCTGGTCACCCGTTGGTGCTCCCTCTCTCCCCGAAGACGTTCCTCCTCTGCCTCATTCACCTGAGTCCCAAGGGACAGAAAACACAAAACAAGAGAAAGAGAGACAACTAAATGGAATCACTCCAAAGGTTTTCTTTCATTTGGCCTTTCCCAATCTACCACCTGATGGCTAACCTGTAGGGGACAGATCTGGTACAATTATCATTCTGTGCTAAAGACTTCACTGAGTACAGAGTAAAAAGTCCCACATTAGATATAGTAAGGAGATAGAGGGGAAGGTAATAAATCTAATAAAAGTCAAGGTAGATTTTATTCCATCCCTATTTGTCTATATACCTAATTTATTTTTAGTTCTGAAGCAGGTGAGCCAATAGCAGAATACACATGGTCATGTAATAATATCAGTCTCTTTTTATACTCCATTCTACTGGAAAGAAAGGAGTTTGATAAAATAATCACATTAAAACATTCTACTGATACATCACCAGTAAAACATTTGTTTTTAGTTATTATTCCTGGTGAGGATGGGTAAAGATTTTCATAGATATGTGTCTTATGTGCCAGGTACTGCTCTAAATGCAACTCTGAGAGGTAGGGGTTATTATCCCCATTTTACAGATGAAAAACTGAGGCAAATAGAGGTTAAATGACTTGCTCAGGGTCACACAGCTAGAAAGTGTCTAAAGCAGGATTAGAACTCATGTCTTTCTGACTCCAGGCAATACTAGAGCTTACCTCCAGCACTTATTTGCTATATATCACTTAACTTCTCTAAGCTTCAATGTTCTCATCTGTAAAATAGAGATAATACTTACATCACCTATTTTTATAGGGTTGTTATACGGATCAAATGAAATAATATATGAAGTGTTTTGCAAAACTTAATTGATATACAAATGTCAGTTATTATTATTATAACCTCAATAAGAGACAGTATGGTAGAATGGATATAGACCTGAATTTGAATCCTTACTCAGGAACTTACTTGCTATATGAAAATCCTAGGCAAGTCATTTAACTGGGCCTCTATTTCCTCTCCTTTAAAACGGGAAGAATGATAATACTTACCTCATAAGGATGAAGATCAAATATGATAATGTATGTAAAGCACTTCCCAAGCCTTAAAGCACTACGTAAATGTGAATTATTACTATTGCTGCACGTAAAATGTATTCAAATACTTACAGATTCATAGCCTATTAAAGCTGCTGACTGAGGGACTGGTGAGCAAGAATATAAATAAGAACTCAATAACAAAGAGCTAAATAATTATAGTTGCACAGAGCTATATACACAAGGACTAAAGTGATACTAACATAACGGAGAGATGAATTGTGTGAGATTAGTCCTCAAAGGAAGTTGCTGGTGAAAGAAAAATCTGTTAAGAGAGCAATGAATAAAAAAACTCTAGGTCAGAAGAACAGCCTGGGTGAGTGCTTGGATAAAGGGTTAGTGAAGAGCTTTTCTTGGCTGAAACAGGGAGGGCAAACTTGAGAAGTCATGAAAAAGAATTCAATGATAAGGAAAGAGGGAGCGGGAGTGGTAAAAATATTAAGGGATAGAATTTAAGGAGGAAGAGAAATCAGATACAAATTAAGGAAAAAATATGAGAATTAAAGGAAAGGAAGAAAGTAATGATTGATGCTGCTGGCTACCCCTCACCTTGCAAGTGGCATGATTAAGCATCTCCTGCCACGTGGGATCAAGCCGGTTCTTGTCAGCCATGACACCTTGTTCTGCCACAAACACCATTTCTCGAGCAGCATTGTGCATGCTCACCGCCCGTTCATAGCGCAGGGCTGCCTTCTGTGTTTCCTGCTGAGCCTGGAGGGAGGGTGGGGAGCAGTCACGGGAGGGGCCCAGACTTTCCCTACCAAGAAAATCCTGGCTGAAGGACAGCCAGTCATGAGAAAGGTAGATATGGTAGAGATTCTCCCTATGTCTGCCCCAAGTGAACGGCAATCCCATATCCTGTAGAGAGACAGAGTCGGAAGCAATGAGAAGTCAATCTCACTGTCCTCCTTTCTCTCTCAAACTATGCTATGAAGAGCCTAATTGGAGATACATTTCTGTAGAAAGACAGAAAAAAAGGGAGGGGAGAGATGAAGGATGCAGAGACAGATGCAAGAGAAGTGGTACCGTACAACAGATAAAGCACCAGACTAGGGCTCAGGAGATTTGGTTTAAATTCCTACCTCAGACACTTTCTATTTGTGTGACCATTTACCTCTCAGAGCCTCAGTTTCCTCATCTGTAAAATGAGAATAAAAGTATCCACACTATCAATGTCATAGTGTTGTGAGGAAAGCCCTTTTCAACCTTAAAGTGACTATTTAAATGTAAATACGAGGAGAGAAAGTTTGGAAGAAACCTTAAAAATCATGTAGTCCAAACCACTCACTCCTCTTACAGATCAAAAATTGAGGCCAAGAGAAGGGAAATTATTTGCCCAAGACTACACAGATGACCACTGGCAGGCCAACACCAGAGAGTCCACTCTGCCTAACTTCTCGTCCAGCAGAAAAACTAAGAACAGGCACTAAATGTGCACATGTGCAGGTGCAGTAAGCCTACACACGAGCCAGACCCCTAGCTGAGGGGATGAGAGCATATGCAGGGGATGAAGCACCCAATTGCTGTACCTCTTTGGCCAGCCTCCGTGCCTCATAATACGGCCGGGCCTTATCAATGCAGCTTCCCAAGTGAGAACCTTGTGTATTGAGCTTTCGAGCTGACTCCTGCAAGATCCTCCGATATGTGGTCCGTGCCTCCTGTCAACAAGATATGAGGAAAAGTCAAGATTACTGGATTAGTTCTCCTCTAGCTGCCCTAAAATTCTCCATCCTAAAGACTGTCCTCTTTCCCCTCTCCCCAAAATATACGACAGTTTCAAGATGGAATTATAGCTACGGAAACAGTCATCCTTGGTGCCAGGAATCCAAGATTTAGTTTGAAACAAAAATGTAATTATTGCTGTCTCCATGTCTTCCACAGAAGGTAAAGCTAAAGGAGGAAAAAAAGTTTCTCTTCCTCCATTCCCTCCTCTATCCCCCAATATAAATTTAAGCAAAAAAAAAAAGGAAGACAAGGAAAGAGAAGAGAAAGCAATTGCAGAAAGCAGTATTATAGGACCACAGATTTATTGTTGAAAAGGATCCTAAAAGTTCATTTAATATAACCCACTCATTTTACAGACACCCAAGTCCTCTGACTCCAAATCCAATACCCTTTCCACTATCCAATGCTGCTCCCTGCACAAGGCATCTCTTGGATTCCTGGGAATCTATTCTAACTTGTTCCCATGTTGGTGTCCCAGGCGGATGGACAGGGACACTCACATCGAGTTGTAGCTCTATTTGGTTGATTTCCTCACTGGCCTGGTTCAGGTGCTCTAGCTCCTCCTGTCCAAGGGGAGACGAAAGGGGAGAGATTAGTCAGGTAGACCCTTAGAAGGTAAAAATCCTATCATGAAAAATTAAGAACCTTCTTTGCATTTTTTGGAGGATAGGAAGAGTTATTATATCCATACACAGAGAGTTTTTAAAGACTTGCAATGGCAATCAATGGTGTGGACTAGGGGGAAAGAGTCTGGAATGGGCCTGTCAGTCAAAAATTATCTTCCCCTAAAATAGTCCTGTTATTTTCTATTCCCCTAGCATAGAAGGAACATTAAAATTCTCACAAAAGGGAAGGAGGTAACCAAGAACCTCCCAACAGAAAGGTAGGCACAGTTATTAGCATCAGGGGTCTCTTTCTTTAGATTTATCTGTAGAGGCATTCTCCCTCCTGCTCAAGATGGAAAGGAAACTTATTTGGCCTATAGGCAAGGGAAGGAGCAGAAAGATGGGATCTATACATGTCTATGAATAGGCAGTGGGACCTCATCCCCTCAAAGACAGAGAGAAGGGCCTCTGGTTTGACAAAGGAAAAGTCTTAACTAGAGTTCTAACCCATTCTCACCTATACTGACATATCACTACATCACAAATAAAATCACACAGTCAAATGCAGCAAGTCAAACTGGGTCATATGCCTATTAAGCATAGTATTTTGTATATTGTATATGTACCCTCACATATGAGGAGGTATGTGTATATGCTTTCCAATTTTTTTATAAGCATCATTTCATGAAGTCCTCATAACCTCCCTGGACATAAACCTAGAACTGAGATTACAATTCTTACTGACAAAAGAGGAAACTGGTATCGAGAAAAGTGACTTCCCAAAGTCGTAAAGTTTTGTTGTTTAGTTATTTTTCAGTCATGTTTGACCCCTTCTGGGGTTTTCTTGACAAAGATACTGGAGTGGTTTGCCATTTCATTCTCCAGTTCATTTTAAAGATGAGGAAACTGAGGCAAGTATGGTTAAGTGACTTGCCCACGGTCATAAAACTAGTACGTGTCAGAGGCCACATTTGAACTCAGGTCTTCCTGACTCCAGGCCCAACACTCTATCCTCCTGCCTGGAGGTCCCATATATATCTTAAATTCAACATGTCCAAAACAAAACTCATTATCTTTTCCTCAAACTCTCCCCTCTTCCTAACTTTTCCATTACTATTGAAGGTACTACCATTCTCTCAGTCATCCAAACTTAGAAGCTAGGTATCATTTTCCAGTTTTCATTCTCTCTCACATCTCCATTTTCAATCAGTGGTCAAGTCTAATCATGTCTACTTTTGTGTAATATCTCTCATATATGCCCCTTCTCTTCTCTGGCATTGTAACCACCATGGTACAGGCCCTTAACACCTCACATGTGGAAAATAGTCTATCAAGAGCCCACTTATGTCTCCCTGCCTCGGTCTCTCCTCATTCCAACCCATCCTCCACTCAGTTGTCAAACTGATCTTCCTAAAATGCAAGTCTAACCATATTATCCCCCTATTCAATACATTCCAGTGGCTCCTTATTATCTCCAAAAGTAAAATCCTGTTTGGCTTTTGAAGCTCTTCATAACATGACCCAGTCAGTCTTCTTACACCTTACTCCCCTCTATGTACTCTTCAATCCACTCACATTAGCCTCCTTGCTGTTCCTCACACATGACATTCCATCTCCTGACTGCACTCCCTCATGCCTAAAAATCTTCCTCCTCATCTCTACTTTCTATCTTCCCTGACTTCCTTCAAGTTTCAGCTAAACTAGCACCTTCTGCAAGAAGCCTTTCCCAGGCCTCCTTAATCTCAGTGATACATGAGAAGGTTTAGATAAACTAATGCAGAATAAAGTAAAGTAGAATTAGAAAATTTTTTTAAATATATATTGACTACAATATAAATGGAAAAAATAATAACCATAACAGAAAACAGAAAATGAATGTTGGGTAATTATAAAGACCAAGCATAGCACCAAAGAAGAAAGAAGAAAATAAAAACTCTTCCCTACTTTGCAGAAATGTAAGACTATCATGAAGGGGTGTGTGTGTGTGTGTGTGTGTGTGTGTGTGTGTCTGTGTGTCTGTGTGTCTGTGTGTGTGTGTGTGTGTGTGTGTAATTAGATTATGGTTAAAAAATTGATTAGTTTTGCTAAAAAAAAATGTTCTTTTTTATTCTTTGTTAAGAGGGATACTTCAATGGGAAGGGGTATGTTCAGAAATTAAGTTGATATAAAAGCAAAATATATTTTTAAAATTATTACTTTTAAATGTTAGCTAAAACCTAGGTCATAAATATGATTACACAGCCACCTAATAAATGTGTACCATTGACTTCTGTTTATCACTGAAAACAGATGATAGCACCTCATCCCAAATGGAAACAACTCAAAACTGCAAAATAAAACAACTCTGAGGTTTCACATCAAATCCATCAGACTGACAAAAATAACAAAAAATGAAAGTGATAAATGTTGAAGGGGCTTTGGGAAGATGAGTACACGAATGCACTGTTGGTGGAACTATGAATTGATCCAATCCTTTTGAAAAACAATTTAGAATTACCCTAAAAACGTCACTAAACAGTACATACTCTTTTACCCAACCAGGCTTATACACACAGAGGGAAAAGTCTCCTTTCTCTTTCATACAAAAATTTTTGTAGTAGGAAAGAACTGGAAAGAAAGAGGGTGCCCATTGTTTGAAGAATGGATATGAATATAATGGAATATTATTATGCTTTTAAAAAGATAAAATATAAAGAATTCAGAGAAAATCTGGAAGATCTGTATGAATCAATGTAGAACAAAGTAGGCAGAACCTAGAGAACAATTTACACAATGACAACAATAAACACTATTGAAAACAACAGCAAAACAACGCTAAAAGGCTTCAGAATCAATGCAGTAACTAATGATGACTTCACTGGATTTGTAATCAAAGGACCTGGGTTCAGATTAAAGTTTTGCCATTTGTTACAGATACGATAATGAGCAGATAACTTTTTTCCTTATCCATAAAATGAGGGAGTCCAACTATCGGACTTAGCTGGCCCCTTCCAGCTCTAAATATATGATCCTAGGAATCTAAGAGTCTAGGTTCCAAATAAGCATACATTTTCACACATAGCCAATGGGTTATTTTGTTTCATTTTCCTAAAATATTCTTATTTATTAAAGGCGAAAGTTAAGGGAGCCATTGAGAAATAACAGAAATGTTAAAAAAAAAAGAACATAAATAAAACATTTAAAAGGAAAGGAAAATAATTCAAAGTTAACACTTTGTCCTACTGTAAGTGGGCCAGGAGCATAATATTGCTAGATCCACAAGCAAATTTATTAAGTCCCCAATATGTGCAAAGCACTGGAGATACAAAGATTAAAATAAAACAATCCCTGAATTCAAGAAACTTACACTATTAAGAAAGATAACAAGCACACATTTAAATACAAAAATGCAATATAAAAATAAATATGAAGTATTTGGGAAAATGAGGTAGACACTACCAGGTGGGAGGAAGGGATCAAGAAAGGACTCATAAAGGAGGTAGCACCGGAGCTAAGCTTTGGCATTGAAGAGAAAATACATTCCTGCCATGGAGAATAGCAAGCACAAAGGGCACAGAGATGGGAGATGGAATGTTGTGAGGAGTAGCAAAAAGACATTTTGCTTGGACATTATGTGCCTAATAATTCTGGCAGGGAGGGTGGAACCAGGTTGTAAACGGCTTAAAAAGCATTTGATCCTAGAGAACCAACAGAACTTATTAAGGAAGAGTGTCATGGTCAGATCTATTTTTTAGAAATATCATAATTGTGACACATGATGGATGATAGATTAGAGAAGAACAGATTTGATGTAAGAAGACAAATTAGAAGACTACTGCAATAGTTCTGGTGAAAAGTGATGAGGTCTTGAACGTGGTGGTGGCTGTACATGTGGACAGAAGGGTACGGATACAAAAAACACTATAGAGAAAGGTATGGATTCAAAAGATAATTGTAGAGGAGGAATCAAAAAGGCTGACTAGATATGTGGAGAAAAGAAGAATAAGGAATCAAAAATTACTAGGTTGTGAACGTTGGAGACTAGAAGAATGGTGTTGTCTTAACAGAAATAAGTGAGAGATACAACGAAAATGTTTCCATAAATTTGGAGCAAACAGCTAGAAAAGTAACTAAGTAAAACAGGATAAAGCCAATCTTACCTTGTTTTGCTGTTAGAAGTCAGTAAGTAGGATAAAGGTTAAGCTTTGCTCAGAGTGCTTAATAGGCTCATGAATACTAATTTCTCTATCTCCAGGAGGGGCTAAGACGCCATTTTCTGAACATGCGATGTATGTAGAAGGAGAGAAGACATGTCCAGGAGCAGATGTGTAACAGGCATGCCGGAAAGTTGTACACTCTGGAGTACTCGGCCAGTGAGAAAACAGAGGAAGGACTTTGGGGCTGGGATTGGAGATAAGTAGTGAACTCCTGCTTTGGTATGGTGTGTCCTAGTCCATAGGACACCCGCAGTTGCAACTGCGTAATAAACTGGGCTTTTAACTTCATCTCTCCTGAGTCCGAATAAGTTATTTCTCAGAATTCCTTGGGGGCTCCTCCAGGATACTAAGCATCGAGATGGAGAGGCGATCATCACTAAGGGGCAGGGAGGCATGCCCTGTTGATTTTTTAACGGCCTCACGATTGAGAGAGTGAGCACCTTTTCTGTCCGACTGCAGGGACCCAAGACTGATTGAAAAGGAAGGGTGAACAAAAAAATGGAAAATAGGCACAAAGGACCATGACCACTGCAAAAGCTCATTTATGGGGCAAGGTAAGAAAATTTGGACTATTAAGTCTTACCTTGTCAGTGGGGGAATTATCCTACAGGGGTCTGAGACTGAGAGTATAAGGTGTACTTTGGAAGTACAGAAATGCGGGGCTTGGCTCCGCAGGTTCATGCTTAGACTTGCAAATCTGAACCTCTAATTAAGAGCTAGGTCTTTCACGCACAAGATATCTCAGAAAGATAGATAGGATGG